GGGGTGAGTTCTCCAACCCCCCCCCCCACCCCCCCCCCCCCCCCCCCCCCCCCCCCCTCCCCCCGTGCTGCTTTAAGGCCGGACAAGTTAATAGTCAGACTGTAAAAACCAGCTGCTGTGGCCCATATGTCCAGGTCTAAAAAAAGATTATCTGTGAAGGTGCTGCCCAGAGCTGAGCATTAGCTGCTATCTGCCCCCCCCCACCTCCACCCTCACCCTTTTTCTCCCCCCCCATCAGATAAAAAGGGCATAATCTGCTGTTTCAGTTCACCCGCTCACGTCTCTGTTACCCTGATGCTACGCTGCAGTAGCCGCAGCGCAGGCTAACCAGCTCATTAATATGAACTTTTACAGCTGATTCAGTTCACCGCGGTCCAACTGCCCCCGGCACAGATGGCAGTTGTTGACTTTGTCTCCGGCTCAGGGACAGGAAGTCAATTATCATCTGGTTGCACCCGAACTGTGAGTCAGAGGGGGGGGGCGGCGGAGGGGGGGCAGTGGTTTCACCTTCTGGTCCGGAGGCCGACTTTGGGAGGTCACTGATTAAAACTTAAAGCTTTGGTGCCCAACCAGTGGCTCGTGACCTGCAGGTGGCTCTTTACAGGCTGTTGGCCGGTCGTCATGACAACGAGGATTTGAACTAGTCCTTTAACTCAACACAACTTGTTAAACTTCATCGGTTACTATGTACGCTACGTAGTCCGACATCACAGAACCACGGCACACATTAGTTACCAAATAATAGAATGACCCACGTTCACGAACGCCTCGTCATTTGTTCAGTTGTTCTTTCATTAACTGTAACAGTGGGAACAATGTGCAGATCCGTTAGCTTAGCATATGTATTTATAGCACGAAGGCTAATCGGTCGACAGCGTTGAAATATTTAATAGAATCTCAATCTCAAATCTCAAAAAAAATCTCAAACTTCAGCCTCAGAAGTCCGACCGTCAGCGGTGCGTGGAGCGAAGCCGTTACGTTTGGGCCTCATTTCACAGCAAATCACACGTGGGTTTGGTCGTAAATGGACAACTTACAATTAGAGTCAGAGCTTAAATCCAGGCCAACGGCTTTTTAAAAATGTCGATTAGATATAAATATATAATTTTTCTTTTTTTTTTTTCATGAACACACACAGGAGTTTGTCCTGCGGCGAGTGAGAGCAGAACCCAGACTTTAATCTACCACGTCACGGTGGAGTACAGCCCGCAGCAGCTCCGTTTATAGCCACTGAAGGAATGTTGCTGTTATCATACTTCTGTGAGGATTCACTTATGCCTGCGCTCACACTGTACGTGACCTCCACATTAGTGTAATCATTCCTACAGAATGAAGAACATTTGCAGAACACCCAGGATGCTGCTGCTGCGGGCGTGTCTTATCTTCACGTTATCTGAGCGGCTTCATGGTTAAACTACGATGAAGAACGGAGCGTGGAGGAAGTTTGATGAGAGCCGGGGTCAAAAAACAAAACAGAACAGAACAGGACAAAAAAAAAAAACAGGACAAAAAGAATTGATGTAAATGAGGTTGTGGTTGTATTTTTTCTGAAACTCAACACTTCTGTACTGGATGATGTATTTGATGTATTTGTTTGGATCCCGTCGCCCTGCTGTGATATTAGACGTGTCTCTCTACAGCAGTGTGCGCTGCTGTCGTCGCAGATAAACCTGATTACCATGGAGACAGGATGCAGATGTTTATCTGGGTAAATAAGAGGAGGCAGACACAGGAGGAAGACTCCAGGTAGGTCAGCGTCACCTTCACCGTCTGAAGGCCTATTATGTTCAACGTCCAAATACTTTATCTGCAGAGAAACTACACAAAATCTCTCTCCTTCATTGGCTGAAAAAAATCTGCTTAATGGCAACCCGCCCCCAAACCCTGCTACAATTCAGCTGTTGTTGAACTCTGGAGGTAATGAGCTGTGAGAAACGTGAGCATCTGCATAAAAAAAAAAAAAAAACTATGAACAAACGTCTCTTCCACCAGCGCTGCACTTATTCAGAGTTTAGATAAAAACACGAGCTGGAACGTCGGGTTTTCAACCCCGGACTCAGCAGTGATGACGTCACAGTTACTCCATACCTGCAAGAATCTCTACACCACCATCCATCATGTTGTACTGCACACACAGACCCAGTTTCCAGAGAAGTTGGTCGACTTTCTACGAACTGTGAAGAAAACCTTCATCTGGTTTTTATTTTTACGTTTTTTTATATATTAGTTATTTCCTGAAACACAAAGATTTGTTTTTGTTAAAATGCAACTATCTACACTAGGGGGTGCCCTTTGACAGTTTTGGTTTTAAAAATAAAATAGAGTGGTTCTCAAACTATGGCACGAGCACCATGCTTGGTGCATGGAGTCCCTCTAGTGGTATATGCATGGTGTTGGTTCATTTTATTTCTTCTCTAGTAATTATAGATCTACAATTACATTGTTAAAAAAAATCAATATCTTATCTAATCTTGCCTGTCGTATCGCAATATATCGTACTGTTGCCCCAGTATCGTGATACGTGTCGTATCGACAGATTCCTGACAATACAGCGCTCTAACGGACATGTAGTTATTTCCAAATATTTCGTAATAAACTTTGATAAAATTCTGTCATTTCCTGTGATTGATAATTCATTTAAATAGTGAATGATCAGCTCTGAAATCGACAGGTTCTGATTCCTGACGCAGAACAAAGAGGAAACTCAGTCACCATAGTTTCA